ATAGGGTTAAAGCACAGCACTAAGAAGCTAAAGCCTCTTCAGCATGAGTTTGATTCCCACCCTGGAGGTGACCCACTTGGCAGGGCAGACCTCTGCTGACCCACCCGCTGCTCCCTTCAGCAGTTTACTTCATCAATCTACCTGTTCTGTTCCCTGCTTTGTTTCTGCTGAATCCTCTCGCTGCCCCTGCAACTCTGACCTGTACCCCAGTTTTGTTATGCATAAATAAATCTTAAAAAAAAAAAGGTGGCTTCTGTCTTGGGTGCTGTTGCTTAGATGGGTAGCCTTGCAGCCAGCTGCCATGACTTCAGGCAGTTCTGGGGTAAGGCCCAGGACTCATCAGAGCTGAGGCCTGTCAATAACCACGTGGTTATGGTGTGATAACGGATTTCCCCCATGTGAGCCTTGGAACAAGGCTGTAGCCTCTGTAAACAGCTTAACCGTACTCAAGACCTGGAGCTGGAGAAACCCAGCTATGTATTCCTGACCGATGGAAACTGGTAGTTGTCATTTGAGCTACAATTCTTTGGGTAATTTTGTTATACAGCATTATTAAATCTTTTCCTAGGGAGGAATTAACAGTTTGCCCTCATCCCCAGAGTTTGTAATGCTCATCACAGCAATTCTGGTGCTCTGGGTTGAGAGGTTCTCCCTCCCAAAGGAGTAATAAGCATCTTGTGAGTACGGCCAAGAGATCCAATAAACTTCATAGCTTAGTTTGAGGTGAACTTGCCAGAAGACCAGCAGTGAGGAAAGTTTTACGTACTTGACTCTAGTCATCTGGGCTTAGGACAGGGATGAATATATCTGACACTCAGGTAGTCTATAGGGGCTTAGCTGCGTACTTGCTTGCCCAATTTTGGCAGGAAATAGACATATACAGTAGAAGGAGGCATGGTGAAAATGGTTCAGACACCAGCAGGTTAGCCACTAGGATAAGCCATCTAGATCAGCAATGGCGCTGGCTGAAGGTAAGGGGACTCTACAATAGGGAGGAAAGGAAAGGAAGCTGGTTGTGAACTAAAGACCAGCTGCAATGGTGGGCCTTTATTTCACCTACTAACCTTCCTAAGTTTCTCCAAGAAGAAACCAACCAGTGTCTGAGGACTACCCCCACAGCTGCTTCTCTGCAGCCAGTGAACACAAGTGAGAAAGAGGTAGGCCAGTGGGTGCCATGGGTGCCAAGGCACTTGCTACCTCAGTGGTTGCAGCGTGGGTTCCAAGTTGAGCCCTTCCAGGAACTGTCCTCAGCTAGAGAAAATGACCCACCAAAGGCCTCCCTGGTGACACAAGGGGTTAAAGTGCAGCACTGTGAAGCTATCCGCAGCCACTGTAGTGCAAGTTTGATTCCAGGTCAAGGAGGTGAACTACATGGCACAGCAGACTGCTCCAGTCTTGACTGCTGCTCCCCTCAACAGTCTTCCTGTTCTGCTCCCTACTGTCTCCGGTGAATCCTCTCGCCTCTCCCACATCTGTATCCTGTACCCCAGTTCTTATATGCATAAATAAATCTTTAGAAAGAAAAATGCACCCAGACCTTGTGTCCTCTCTGCCCTGACCCAGGGTAATATTGGACACGGGGGTACCAAGGCCTGGCCCTCTTGCCTCCAGGCCAGACAGTACTTAAGGAATATTTACTACTAGCTTTTGCGTTAATAGCAACTCGCTTCAATTTTACTTTGCCTAGGTTTATCTTCTCCCCTCACAAATGTTGATTCCCCGGGCAGGCCTCCACCTCCAACCCCCAAACTTCTTGTACACATTTCTTACAGTTTCCTGTGAAACCTAAGACAAACATGGTAGTTGCTGAACAAATAAATAACACTATTTGAGTGTTGTGCTATTCTTAACTCAAATGGAAGGAAGGCTCCAACAATTACCAAAACAGTTGTGTGCAGCTTTTAGAATAGTGGAAGCAAATCTATAGCTGAACTTGTGCATCTTAGTGGTAAGTTAAACAACAGACTAGGAAAATGCTATTTTGGGTAGAGCACCACAATTTTTTTTTTAAGAGGTGCTATTTTCTGTGGGATGTCAATGTAAATGAGCAAGTTATTTACAGGCTTGATTTCTTTAACTGCGAGATACTAAGAAACCTAGACTCCTCTATAATTTGAAGAGGGAAAGTGAACCTTTGCCCTAATGTCATGTAAAGTAAGTTATTTAACTATAGGAAGTTCCAATTCTTTGATGGGCAGATACTAGTTCAGATAAAACTGATTGAACAAGGAAATTAAGCAATATTCTCACAACTTACCAAAACACCAGGCCTGTATGTGTATCAGTACGGTATAAATGAATGAATCTTAAAACTCAGTCACCTGCTACATATCATAGTGAACTGATTCCATAACTAGAAGACTGTTAAATCTATATCGATTTCTACCAATTTCATTGTAAAACTTGTGTCTAAGCATGGGGAAAACTGAGGAAAAAGTACCTGTAAAACTTCAAAATCATTTACTCAGGACATCGGATACTTGCTTAGCAGAGATCTCAAACAGAACAAATTTCATCTAAGATTGGATGGGAAAAAATGTACACTTAGAAGTCAAACAGTTATTTCTCACTTTGACCAGCTTCTGGTCCACAAAGGACTTCACTTAAGACTCTGTTACACTTTGTCATGTTCACTCTACTATAGAAATGAGCTTCTGCCATAGTACCTCAGAAAGGCTGAAAATTAATAGCACTCTGCCTTGAAACACTGCTAGTCTTTCAGGTAATGCAGGAAAACCATGTAAATCCAAAAGCACACTCAGACCCTACACTGAGGGTGTGAATGAAGACTAACACAGGAAACGAAATGGGTCAAGGAAAGAAACATCTTTTTGGCAACTTAAAAAGCAGCAATATTAGGGCCTCCCTGGTGGTGCAGGGATTAAAGTATCATCCTTATCAAGCCATCATCAGTCACTGGGCTGGTGGCCTGAGTTGAATCCCTGACTAGAAAGATGACACAGTAGGGCCCTCCTTGCTGGTGCAACAGGTTAAAAGTGCATCACTGTAAGCTGACCGCAACTGCATTGTTGTAAGTTGGATCCCCAGCCCTGGAGGTGACCCACATCAGCAGCAGACCTCTCCAGTCTCACCCACTGCTCCCCTCAGCAGTGTACTAAGTCATCAGCCTGTTTTTCTCCCCACTGTTTCTGGTGAATTCCCTTACTGCCCCTGCAACTCCGACCCATACCCCAGTTCTATTTAAAAAAAAAAAAAAAAAAAAGACATAGCAGACCTCCTGTCTTGCCCACTGCTCCCCTCAGCAGTGTACTTTGTTGATTTGCCATTTCTGCTCCCCAATGCACCTCTCACCCCCTGCACCTCTGACTTACAATGCAGTTCTTGTATGAGTAATAAACCTTAAAAAAAAAAAGTGAAACAAAAACAGCAACGTTAAATGTTAAGATAGCCAGTGTGGGCTCTCCCCGGTGGCGCAGCGGATTAAAGCACAGCATTGAGAATCTAAAGCTGCTTACGCATGAGTTCGACTCCTGCCTGCCCCGGAGGTGACCAGATGGCACGGCAGACCTCTCCTGACCCACCCACTGCTCCCCTCAGCAGTGTACTTCCTCGGTCTGCCTGTTCTGCTCCCCACTCTGTCTCTGGTGAAGCCTCTCACCGCCCCTGAGCCTTTGGCCTGTACCCCAGTTCTGTATGCACAAATAAATAAATCTTTAGAGAAAAAAAAAAGATAGCCAGTGTAATGTTGACACCATTGTCTTTTTTCACCAACAGAAATTTTATAGCTGAAGTTAAAGTATGTGCTAACACTGATAAATCTCACCCTACTGATTACATCTCATCTTACCTCCAAGCAGCATTTTTGTTATTTGTATGGTGAAAACTATATTACTAATTGCCTTTTCAACTATACCCTCTCATTCCCAATCCTTTTTACTGTAAAGCACAATTTATCATTAAGGACAATCCCCCCTTCCCCCAACTCCTTACCACTACAGTTTAAGGGACAGAGAATGCTCAGAAGTCTGTGACCCAACCTGTCAACCACTTACACCTGGATTATCTTGTCATGCGAGAAATCAGACATAAGATTTGTATCATCTATGAAGAGCTTCTACAAATAACTTGCTTCCACTTGGATACACGTTGGTTGTCATTTTTTCCCATTGTAGACCATAGCTACTAAATGGTGTCAGGAATTCAGTGGTTTCACGTTAATGCACAAAGATTCCCAGAGATTTGCAAATAACACAAGCAGTATTAACTTTATAGTTGGTGATTTTTTAAGTCCCCAAATTTAGGAGGCCTAGAATGTGAAAAATGGCAAAGAAAGTGGCTTACTAAAAGGACAAATGTATACAGTGATCATAGCACGCTAGAGGTTTGCGTTCCCACCTTGTCCACCAGACCAAATTAAGAGCCTATTTTGAGAGAAAACACAGCTAAAAAGCTTGGTTATCAAGATAGGGCTTAATAGTACTGGAGTTTAAGACTTGCAGCAACTGTGAATAGAGGGCACACAGGACACAGGATGTGAGTGAATAGAACTAGGTTTCTTAAAGCTAGGTCTAGAAGCCAAGGGCTTTAGATGTTATTTTAGGTAATCGAAACCCCTTTGTACTTTAATAAACCCTCGATAAAACTCAGTCAGTGCTTGGCCAGGGGGCAGGGGTAGGGGTGGTGGGGTAATGACTATGAATGTGCTACAGTAAAAACATGGCAGTGGCAAATGTTAAGAACCGAGATCTATTTTTGGTCAACCATTTTCTGTATGTAGCACTATGCATTATCAGAGATTTCTCTTCCTTCTGGAGAGATTGTTTTCACCAATGGTTCCTGCTACCCTGAGAGCAGGGTCTGTGACTGCTCTCCTGTAACAGGATTGCCCTGGAATAAGCTTCATGGTGCTTGAAAGTTAGACATCAGTTTTGGATTCTGTTTTCCCAGTGCATAATGTAGTCTTGATCACTATTTTTGGTATCTGACAAGACCTTTTTGCTTCAGATTTCAGGAATGAATTAGAAGCTCCAAGATTCATTATTTAGAGAATACTTTATTAGTTTCTGTAATCAAACCCATGTAGATAAGACCTTACATATTTAATACAGTGTGTTACCCCTGTACAAATGGAAAAAAATTATGTTTAACGTATCTAGACCAATATGGCTGTTAATTTCTGTACAATGCCAACCCAACACGGTACAACTGGGATACTTATTTCCAAAGTTGACAGCACAGCTAATTTCCAAAAATTCAAATTATATATATATGTATATATATATATATTTATTTATTTATATAAAAAGACCAATAGCAGTATGTTATGCATCAATAGCAGCAACAGCTTTTCCAGGTTCTGCAGTCATCTGAACAAAATTATAGAGACATCCAGCACACTCCATTAAAAAAAAAGAAAAAGAAAAAGAAAAGGTAAAAAACAAAACCCCAGAAAACAGCAATATTCTGTTACTGTTATGGTACCTGGCACCATTTTTTAATTAGCTTCTCAATCATCATCTGAAAAGAAAACATTCTAGAATAACATCATTAAAAACAGCTCTGATAAAGCACGGTCACTACTACGTATCATAAAGCAGGTACAAGGTATTTTACATTCACAGAGGTATGATACAGTACTGTCCTACATCTATAATACTAGAGGATACAATTAAAAAGGCATTATTTGAGACTTGATTCTACCATTCCAGCAGAGGGCCCAAAGAATATTATGACACAGCTCTGGTAAAGAAATGCACCTTTCAGATAGGATTTCCTTTCATTAGCGGTACTCACTGCTCTTCATGAACATCAGCTAAAAACCGTTACCATTTAAAAAAACAAAAGAAAAAAGAAAACCAAAACTCCCCAACCACTGGATTCATACAAAGATGACCGAGTGGAGGCAAGCAAGACTCAACCTATTATTTTACCAAATCTGTCTTGTGAGAATGCTAAGAGCTCCATGGAAGAAAGGAGATGTCAAGTAGCACTTCAAAAGCTTTGGGCCACAACCAAAACACAGCATCATTTCAAACAGAAGCAGTAGGCAAACACTGCCCACGTGGGTATGTTCAAGGATGCTGACGTCAGTAATTCATCATCGCTCACTCGTCCAGGGAGAAGGGGAGATCAGTTACTGTACTTTGATTGTGTTCAACTCAATCACCATGTTACAAAAATAGCAAGCTGCCATAATAAAAATAAGGCTCCTCTATCCAGCACCAGTTATCTTCAGTTCTTCACCACCAAGCCTACAAATGCTATAACTATATCCAAAAAACACAGGGGAGCAAGAAACCACATCTGGAGTATTAGCCATACTGTTCATGCCGAGCTATTCCTCTGCAGTGTTACTTTTTGCATGTTTCTGATATTTCAACTAACCAAAAGGATTTTAATTCTAAATCATATGCACCGAAGGCATTTGTGCATATTATCTGTATAGAAATTTTGGCTGAAAATGCTGGCCATCAGAGTGCATGTTATATAGTGGGTGCAAGCTTGCAAAGCCTCACTGCACTCGTGCAGCGGCTGTGTCAGTGTAAATTGCTCCTATGTCTCTTGTGCATCTCCAAGCTCTGGACAGGATGTCACAGGCCGTTTGACCCCTCTGGCTGCTGGCATTATCTGACTTCAGTCTCCCTCTTCCCCTTCCCCCCACCCCGCCCCCTGCAATAATCCACAGCCTTTAAGATTTTGTTTCTTCGGTTTTGATGGCCTGAGGTTTGATTGGTCCAGTTCTAACAGGTTTGGTGGCTATGGTGGCCGCAGGGGGTGGCTTTTCTTCTACTTTTTCCTGACAGACACCAGGAGGGTCAGTCAGTGTTTCAGGAGGTTTACTTGAATCACTGTCCACTTTCTGGGCTTTGCCTCCTATCTGTTTGCTCTGTTGTTGTTCAGAGAAGAACCGTTGCGTGGACTGAAGAACCTCTGCTCTCTGTTTTGCCTTGAAAAACGAGAAACAACAACTGAAAACGCTGTAGCATTATCCAAGCCTGTCAATCAATTTCAATTCAAATTCTTTTACCAATCACAAATCAGTTTTCCCCACGTTGGTCTGGCCCAAACCAAAGGTACCTCACTGAGTTTCAACTCTTAAGGGTTAGAGATTTCTTCCTAATATTTTTTGAAAATATTCCATGTAACTTCTTTTTTAACATTTGCAAGAACAGAACCTCCTCCCACCACTTTTCAAGGTTTGCCCTCTTATAAAATAATAAAATAGAAATTGCTGCTGGTTTATATTTTTTTCTGGGACAAGCTCCTTGACATCAAATGTAATTTAGGGAGCCTACTTGCAAATTCAAAACATATAAGTCACATGTAAAACTTCTAGTCATCAATATGTGGTCTACAATAAAATGAAAAGGAAGCACTTATATTGTGGCATTACCAACACCTAGGACCAAATGTCTTGTGGCTGAGTCCTCTTCCCACAGCTCTCTTCTGCAGGGGAAGAGCATCAGAAATTAGTAACTACAACTTCACTTGATCACTAAGTTCTGATAGCTCCTACCACATTCTGAGTTGGTAAATAATTTCTTAGTTTTATCAACTATGTGTCCCAAGAATATACTTACGTCAGTCTGTAAATTACATCACTGTAATATACACAATTAAACTGTAAGCTTCTATATCTCTCACATATAAGAAAAGCCCCTCATATGTTCTACAGATAACCTGCACTGTTTCGAAGATCTGAAGTCACTTAAGAAATGTGTCCTCTCTCCCACCCCATTTGGATGATGAAGCTTTAATATCATTTCCAATATGGGAATGTATGAAAATCAAGTGCTAAGGATCCAGAAGAACAACTAGAAACCTAGGCCAAATGGTGTCCAAATGTTTCCAGATATACTAATATTTTTAACAGCTATGAAAATATATAAACCATAGGTGTACAGCTTTAATATAAGTAGGTAATCTTTAAATAAGTTTCACTCCAGAGTAATATTTAAATTTGATTAACTCAGGATCAGAAACAAAGGATGTCAAACCAGAAAGACATTTTAGTCAGTCAACCCACTTCTCTAATAGGATTACTGCAGTTTCAATTCAGAGTAAATCATTAACTACAGAAATCTCTGTTGGTTTGAAAGCAGCAAATTGGTCTGAGTGACAAAATAGGTAAGATTAATAAGACCTTTAAGTCAAATCTAACTAAGTAAGCTGATTTCAAGTTGGCTGTATAGGCAGACAGGCCAGGTTAAAAACTGTCCCCACACAGACTTCTGAAGGCACTCTTCCATGTTAGCAAACCTCACATTTACCAGTGCCATTTATCACGAAGGATCCCAAAGTGCTTTCTACAACTGCACAATCTACTGTGGAAAATAGCCACTTTGGATGGCATACAAAAAAGGGGTATAGAAACAGCCTGAGAAGAAAACTACTTGGATGACTCAAGAGGAAGAAAAATCCAGACAGGTAATATGTCTTACCCACACCAAAATTTTCACATAATCATGAATTTTGTTTTGCATTTGGGAATGCAGGGGTGGGGTGGGGTGGGGTGGGGTGGGAGTGGAGAGAAAAACAAAGGGGGGAAAAAAAATTAAAGAAAAGGGGGGAAAAAAAAACCCACCCAAAACTATGGAAATCTACAATTCCTTTTTCTTTAAAAAAACAAAAACAAAACCAAAAAAACACCTAGACTCAGATTCCCTCAAGTATTTTAGGAGCAATTCATTGGGCCAGAGAAATCTAAAATTTTGTCATTTGGTGACTGGAGGGAGGAGAGGGATGGTGATGCTAAAAAATAAAAAAAGAAAAGAAAAACAAAAAAAAGGGTGGGGGAAAAGGGAAAAAAAAAAAAAAGAATAAAAGTGCTTAATTAAGTCTGCAAGGACAATAAATGCCTGGATATACGGTTATGGGTCCAGAGGCATCTTCAGACATGGTTCAGAGACAGATTATTGCTCTGTTTGGCTGTTAACACTGTACTAACCTTCATGTCTTGTTCAGCCTTCAACGCAGCCTGGGCCTGATTACCTCTGACTCCAGATAGTGATCCACAAGGACCCCTGGCTACATGTGGCAAACGAGCATGGCTCATGAGGCCTGTGGTCAGCGGAGGAGGCATCTGATTGGCCAGTGCCATTGGTGGCCTCTGAACAGGCGCTGGGAAGGTGTTAGTATGTGGGGCTCTTACCAATGGAGGGACCAGGTTAGGTTGAGAGAGAATCTGAGTGAAAAAAACAAAACATACAACATTGAACTGTTAAAAAAAAAAAAAAAAGCCAACTAGAAACAGGTTGGCTTATCCCAGAGTAAATTTGTGCCCATTCTGTCAGTGAAAGGAGGTATGTGGACTTGAGCCATCCTAATACAGGGGCCAAGAACACAGAGGCCAAGCCTGGAGAATCTAACAGAAAAAGTGGGCAAAGCAAGTAAAGCACTTCAGTTGGTTCTAGCATTTCAGGTACAAATTGTGAAGGAGATAGGCATCAGAGTATCTTTAAAAATATGCAACTGCAGAAAAGGCACACATCTACACCAAACATTCTGACAATAAACACTAATTGAACAATACATGTTTTGTCAGGAACCAATTCTAGTTTGTGAGAGCTCTCAACAATTTTGTTAGCCCCTCCATATGACTAGCAAAGGGAAGAGAAGCAAGTATTTTTACAAATATATTAGAACATCTTGCAAATTTTATTTCAAATAGAGCTATCTTTAAAACAAACAAACAACAAACAAACAAACAAACAAAAACCCAAAAAACTTTAAGCACTGGGACCCTTCTCGAAAAGTCAACTCCTTCAAAAAGATAAAAGGAACAGGACTAAAATAAATGATCAGAGCTGTGTGGGGAATCTTTTGACTTTCTTATGTCTGCTTTAGAACTATACAGTTACTATCTTTGTCTAGCTAAAAACTGCAGAGAACATATTTGAATGTCATAAATTTACGGTTAAATAAGAAACAGTTTCTCATTAAGAACTGTGCTTCTAAAGTGGGTCACATGGCAAAATTATGAAACCAGACAATCAGCCAGATTAGCAATTGTTGCAGGTATATAATACTCATTTCTCACTTATTATCTGCCCACCTGGGGTGCAAACTGTGTAGGAAATGGTTGTGTCATTCTCACAGTGGCAGGGGCTGACTGGAACTGCTTCTGATAGACAATGCTGTTCATTTTGCTGGACTGGCTGTTCGGACTTGTGGAAGTAGCCCTTGGAAAGAAGCCATCACTGGTCAGTACGGTAGTGCCACATAAATAATGCTGTTAAAGAGTTTTAGAGACATTGCTCTTGGCAGATTCAATCATACTTGGTAGTTGATGAAAGTTTACCAAGGGGAATTAGCAAACAATATGAGAGGAGAGACACTGGAGGGGCAGAGGTAAGAAGGGATACTAGCTAAATTTGCCCTGAATTAAAACAACTTTCTTAAAATACAGGACAGCAAATACATTCTTAATTTAAAGGCTTAACATTTTAGACAAAACTATCGTGTTACTGTGCTCAACATGGGATTGGAAACATTATGCATTTAACAAATAAAAGGTGTTGAACTTTTTGGAAATTCTTTAAGCAGTTTAAATGCCCATTTTACCGGAAAGGACTAGATGTAGATGTGGTGCTTCTACCGCTGATTGGAGGTGTGCCTGGTTTTATATCAATGCCACTTCCAAAGGCTTTTAATTCCATTTCAGACATCTGAGAAAAAGCATAAAATAGGCTTAAAATTTCTTCAATTCCATTACTAAGTGATTAGTACCCGATATAAATAAAGACAATCTAGCAAGAACCTTATTATAAAAATCCTGTACTTTGGTTTGAAACACCATGGAATTATTAGGACCACATTCGTGGCTAGAAAATCTAAAAAAGGGTATATTTTTACAAGAAGGTATAAATTCACAAAATTTGTGAATTTCTGGTTATCAGGAAAAACCAAGAAAGAGACTAACACAATAAAAGTAAACAGATAAGAAATAGCAAATTTTTTGCACTTACTTTTCCTGTGGTTGCAATCATGCCATGCTGAGTTCCAGCAGGGATTAATCCTCTGAAAGGCTGGCTCACTTGTGCAGGACGACTCAGGCTCTGGGCCTGGGCTTGTGGGGTGGTGTGCTGTAATGGGGGCTGAAGAGTCTGAGGCAAAGCAATTAAAGGCTGTCCTGTGGATCCAAAACTAGGCAAGGAAAGTTGGGATGCTGGTAAAGGTACTGTAACCTAGAAAATAAACAAACAGAAACTGTTGCTATTTGCCTTTACCTATTGTAAGTATCTTTATAACTGTACACACAATTCTTCAAACAATTCTGAGTAAGATTTGACACATAGAATATATGAACTATTAATGTATTTTGCCTATAAATTTCTGCTTAGTGACTACTTCTACTTTTATTGAAGATACACAACAAATTTGCAATATAGAAACTATGCAACTGAAATGATTATGGTGATCTTTGAATTAATCCACAGGACATGTCAAAGTATCATAAAAGATAACAAAATCATGGAAATAAAATTTAAGAGTAATTACAACCTCTCCAATAAACTTTTAGTGTTTTCAGAGCCAGTTAAAATAAGCTTTCACAAGAAAAATAACTTTTCAGTTTCATACAGTGTTTAATGTGAACATCAATATTTATGACCAACCCTTAAAATAGCCACCAAAATTTTTATGAAAAATGACTAATGTTCTGCCTCTTTTCTACAGTCCTTAACTTTTAGAGTAAACTAATATATGACATTCACTGCTATATAAAGACAGTTTTGAAAAATCATTTTTCTACTATGTTCACACACTTATGAAAGGTGCTTGTTATCTGTACTGCCATATTCTGCCACATTGGCCTGTGGATTATGTTAGCCAGTGTGAGCATCTTAGTGTCAATTCCTTCATTTCTGACATAAATGGGTACAGCATCTGTTATAATTACACATAACTGTATTTCTGACAATAGTTTTCAAACATTTCTATTCAGGGAATCCTTTAAATAAATGATTATATGGAACCCATCAAAAGAAGTGGTAATTATCATGACTAATTAAAGTGGGAATGGGCACAGGAATGTTGTGGAACAGAAGTATGTTCTACTCCTGGTGGATACCATCAAACTCCTGGGACAACACAGACATAAGTTTGAAAATCAATGTACCATCTGCCCATCTCAGTTCTACTTAAATTCCCCAACAATGATAATAAAAGCAGTAATAGTAAAAAAGAAAATTGAGGAAATTTACCATGCCATAGTTTACCTGCTGGAGAGCACTTGGTGACTGGGCAGTGTTATAAAAATTTGTCTGACCAGGCTGTTGTACTTGTCCAGAATAAAGATTTGAAGCCTGGGTAAGATTTGCTCTAGCCTAGAAAAGAAATTTTAAGAAAAAAGCATTAAGATTGAAAATGTTCCATCCAGAGACTGAAGTTATTAATAGCTTCAAAGTAACCATTAACAGTGTTAGTGTTAGAGGACCTGCTTGGTGGCCTAAGTGTTAAGTCTCAGTTCTATTATCACTATGGTCGGAGTTCAATTTTGGGTAGGGAGCTAAGCCCACACGGTGCAGCAGACCTCTCCTGTCTCACCTCTGCTCCCCTCAGCAGCATATTTCAGTTGATCAGTCTGTTTGGCTCCCCACTCTGTCTTTGGTGAATTGTCTGACCCTCCCCACACCTCTGGCCTACACTCCCAAAATAAGTAACAACAAAAAAGAATTCTAGTATTAGATAAAGAGGAAGATTTAAAAAATTGTCTTTAAGAACAAAAAAAGTTTCCTTTTAGTCTGCTGTATGGAAATATAATGACACATTATCTAGTCTCTGCCTTACCTGGAGAAGGTGTGTATCAATCAGTTGGGAACCTCCTAGTCCAGATGCCTGACCCAGCTGATGTTCATACAATATAGGGATAGGCTGAGTGCTTGAAGTCTGTTGAAAGGCAAGACCTGATTGTGCCTTGGCAAGTTCCTGGTGTTGGACAGCTGGAAAGTTGTGGATGGCAGTACCAGAAAGCACTACAGATGGCTGGGATAGACTGCTTTGCATAAAGGCTGGCTGCGACCTACATACATATGAAAGAGAAAATACTATGTAATAATTTTAATTTGAATCTAGAAATCTTAAGGATGAACATTCCCAAATGACCAAGTATTTTAATTAGCACAGAAAACAAGAACAATGGTAAAGCATACAGATATTGTCTAAGACACTAGCCTTAAGATTTAGAGCCCCATACAACACAGCTCCACATGCTAAAAATTCTGAAAAAAGGCTTGTCCCCCTGAGAGATTGTTAAGGACGTCCCCTCTTGAATAATGATAGTGTTTCTCGACTCAAGTTCACCGACAAATATGCTGTTTTCTTTACTGGTATTGACACAATAATTTGTAGTTCACTATTTTCTTTCACATGTGTTTCAAACAAGAGGAGTGGACACCCCTACCGAATAAAACGGAACAACAGTTTACATCACTACTTCCCACAAAAGTTTCATAAATAAAGACCAATGCTGGCACCTAACCTTTGATTTCCTTGTCATCTCTGGGATGGAAAGTCTAATCTATACTAAAATAACTGCTATTATACAGAATAAAAACAATAACTAAATCAAAGTGGTGGACTAAAGATAATACCATCAACAGAGAACATCATGCTTTGTTAAGGTTAACACATGTAGCAGGAACTAAAGTTGTAAAGGAGGAAAGTTAGTCAGGGTCACAAGAAATCTTTGTAATTGCCAATTTAGGCTCCAAATATAAAATGGGAACACAAACATATTGTTATGACCAAAGTAAGTGACAGAGTAAGGTGTATAAAGTAAATATATATTAAATATAAGTGTAACAGAAATAAGGCACATAAGTAAAAATATAAACCAGATTACAAATTATTGAAGAAATCTCTAATCAAAACAAAATGAGAACCACATTTATAAAGTTCTACTAATAAAGTTTAATGGGATGAACATAGCTTCTTTAGGAGTATAAGAAATGAACAATCAGCTATCAAAAAAGACAAATTCTTGCCACTTGTGGCAACATAAAAAAGCTGGAGGGCTTATTATTCTAAGTCAGAACGAGCAAGATATAAATACCAGATGGTGTGACTTACATGTCGAATACTGAGAACCAAACAAAGTATCAGATGAAGCCAAACTGAACAATGGCTAAAAAGCTGACTATGGGACTGAGGCTACCTGAGTGGAAGAGAGGGACAAGAAAAAATTGGGGAGGGAGCACAGAGAACAACTGGGGTAGATGGTGAGTGTTTTAGTGGGGGTTGTACTACAGAAGTAACACCCACACCTTTAAACCGCAAATAATGGTGTAAAGCCAATTTACCTCAAAAGAAAGAAATGAGCAATGTCGATATTGCCGAACTTAAGCCTAGAAATTCCACCTAATCCACTTCAAAAATAATTTCTAAAACCAAATGTATAACTTTTTAACCTTTTTAAAATGAATGTCTGAGTGATTTTTCTTTTTTGATGATTTAGGGCCAGTAGCATCAGTATCTAGGCAGCGATGTCATAATAAAGACTGAGCTACCCTGTATAACTGCAGTCATGACTGTTACAACCTCACCTTTCCAGCCTCATTGAGTTGAGAGACACCAGGCACCAGGAGTTGAATCTGGGTTCTGCCACTATTGTCTGTGTTAGCATTAGGTTAAAAACCCAGCCTCTTTATGTCAAATAGGGGTGGCTTCCTCAACCTTGCATGGTTTTGTGAAGATTAAGCTGCATTACATGAAGGACTAAACGCTATCATATGTAATGAGAACTCAAGTTTTCATTCCTTCCCTAGTTACACAGAATCTTCCAAAATTTGTTTTTCTTCTACACTACACAGCATTCTTATTCTACTATTTTCCATTCTTTGTCTTGACTCTTCTATTATCCTGGCATCTACCCTTTGCATAATGTTCTCTGCCATGCCCCTGCTCTTACATGGAGCAGGCTTAGATTTAGAATTGTCAGTCACCTGATGTCACTTAATACATTTAGATCCTTTATAGCAGTTACTTCCAATTGCTATGGGATTGTTGCTAATCTGTTTCAAGAAGCTTAAAGGTTTCTTCAATAAAGTCTAACTGAAATTGCCATGACTGAGGTTCATGACATATACAACATGCTTAAATATATAATGTTGTTTAAGAGGGTTAATCTAGTTTTTTCGGGGAAGAAGCAGTTAAGGATGCCACAAGGAGGCTCAGCAGTAACCTTTCCTTGACATTGCAAACTTAATTTTAAGGCTTTTACCTATATGGTTGTAGTGAAGAACTGAATAATTCCTGAGCCTGAGAAACAGCAGGTCCAGCACCCAAACTGAGTTGGGCTTGATGTTGTCCTTGCAGTGGTGCATAAATTGGGATTGGAATCTGCTGAACTGAAGTTGGCTGCAAAGTCATGAAAAACAAAAGCAAAAAACAAAATATTAAACTCATACACAAAAGTCACAACACTTGTGGCAAAAAACATTTTTGAATAAAATAAGATTAATGTCACCGAACAGTTTCCTTTTAAAACAAAATCAAATATAAACATCTAGTCCTTTCTTTTTGACTTAACTATTTCACATCGTTAACCATTAAGCTTTGGCAAACTGGGGAGCTTTAAAATTTTGCTAACTGCGTAACAAGGCATTAATGGTTGTTTCAAATTAATAGAACATAATTTCAAAGAGCCTACCATTTGTAACACCTGAGAACTATTTCACCATAAAAATTCTGAGAAGCAAATATGTTAAAGGGTAGTATGTCCTAAAGGAACTCTGCAGAGTTCTGTGTATTCCACCCCCTACTCCAGTGATTGGAAACTAAAGCTCCCAGTAGTACTAGGGAGAGAACTGCGAGGACCAAAGGGTGGAGCTAAGCAGGCAGCCTGGGACTTTGGGGGATAAATAAGGCGCCATTTGCTACAGCGCTCACTAGCTCTGGAAAACAGCTCTTAGGACCATGTGACTCGGGACTTTCAGTTAGTTTATTACCAGAGGTATCCCTGGGCTGTTTCTTTTCCCCTTTTGTAAATAAATCCATTATTGACTCTTTTGCATGAGTCTGCAGTACAACTGAATTTTAAGCGCGCAGTGAATTTTAAGCACGCAGAAGCGCGCAGGTGAGGCCCCACAGACAGGCGGTCCAGTTCACACTGGGGTGCCCTGTAACAAATACAGAATGGGAGAAATCTGAGATTTACCTGAGAAAGACCTGGTTGGAAGCCTTGTTGCTGAGCCAATGATGGTGGGGCCAATCGTGCATGCTGAGTATTAAATAAGTGACTTGTGTCCATATAGAAAGCAGGAATTTGAGCTACACCCCATCAAAAATAAAAGCAGCAGTATTAAATGTTTAGAAATAACTAAAAATTAAAAACTGTGGCAGATTCACAAAAAATGGGACCTCTGAAAAACTGTCACGGGAAAAGTAACACTACAGAGATATAAATGCAAAAAGATGCAAAACTTGGCAGATTTACTTATGTAAATAAAAACATAACTCTAGTACTTGTGAAGGCATGGAATAAGATATTAATACAGTCAAAGAGGTCAACTGATAAGATTTCACATAATGTACAATTGAAAATGAACCTACCTACCAAGCCAGCAAATCCACTCCGATGTTAAATCTACCTATTAGACTTTAGCAAAATATTTCAAAGGAACTGCTGTTCAAAAGAACATTTCAGAAGAAAGTGTAAACTTATTTACACTTTTCAGTTGTGGTAGTATAAAGAGATTTTTACTTAAAAAAAATATTTTATTTTAGTTATTTATGCATATAAGAGCTGGGGTGTAGCCAGAGGCTCAGGGGATGGAGGTGTAACAGGATTTGATGAACTCCTGTCTGGTGACAGGAGTGGGGAGCAGAAAAGGCAGATTGATTGAAGTCTACTGCTGCATCATGTGGGTCAGCTCCTTGGCTGGACATCAAACTCAAGACTGCAGAGGTGGGCCCTGGCAGTGGTAGTGCTGAGACTTAACCCTTTGTGCTAGTAGGGAAGTCCAAGAGTTTTATTTTTTAAAAATATTTATTTGTGCATTCAATAGCTGGGGTGTAGGTCAGAGGTGGTGGTGAGAGGATTTCCCCAGAGACAGAGTAGAGAGCAAAACAGGCGGGTCTACTGAAATACAGCAGTGGCCAAGATAGTAGAGGTCCTCTGTGCCATGTGTGTTAGCTCCCCAGCTGAGGATCGAACTTCTACTGCTGTGGCTGCTGTTATCTTCACAGTGCTGAGACTTAACCCCTGTGCAACCAAGGAGGCTGCCATGAGTCTTTTTTACTATATTCTACATTTTTACTATTTTATGATTTACTGTTTTTATATAATACTTATGTTTTGGAAAACTTCATTGTTTTTCAGTTGTTACCATTATAAATAACTCTGCAATGACTCAATATCACATATGTATCTCATTAAGTTAGCTCCCCAGCTCACTGTGTGATAAGATTCCAACCTATAAAACTGCTACTATAGTTAATACTCACTCATAATACATCAAGATACTTAAAGCTGCCAATTTACATATTCACCAGCAATGTATTTCAAGAGCTTACTAAAAATAGCAGCATCCTAAATACTGGGTATTACAGATGCTGGATTATCATCAATCTTCCTAGTATCCTTCCCATTGAAAGTCAACAAACTGCATTACTGTTTTCTTACTTTGAATTTAAATTAGTGTTTTTCAAATGTTTATTTACTACTTAACTCAGGACCTTAACGCTGTGATATTTAGTAAGGACAAGCTACTGTGAACCCCCTATATAGTTTTTTTTCCTTTGCTATTTCTGTTCCTCCCCCATGAACTTAATTGTTCTTTGAATCTGAGATAAAGAGTTTTATAATCTGATTGGCATAACATCAGATGTATAAATTATACTTCAAGTTATTAGACACCGGCCCTCCCTGGTAGTGCAGCGGGTTAAAGCACAGCACCAAGAAGCTGAAGCCACTTCCGCATGAGTTCAATTCCCGCCTGCCCCGGAGGTGACCACATGGTGTGGCAGACCTCTCCTGACCCGCCCGCTGCTCCCCTCAGCAGTATACTTCGTCAATCTGCCTGTTCTGCTCCCCACTCTGTCTCTGGTGAAGCCTCTCACAGCCCCTGGGCCTCTGGCCTGTACCCCAGTTCTGTATGTACAAATAAATCTTAAAAAAAAAAAAAAAAAGTCATTAGACACCACTTTGGTTTAATAGGTAGGTGACATATGGAAGTCATTTAAAATCTCCAGAATGCTTACCAACGAGGGAACATTCTACTCTATGAAGGTATAAATTTATAAGGTAGTAGATAAGACATCTAAACTTAAAAGGACAACAAAGGAAAAAAAATTAAAAATCTTCATTTTCTAAATTCCTTATTTTCAATCCTAAAAAGAACTTACCTGCAGCAGACTGAGAAACATAGACTTGTGGACTCTGTTGTTGCTGGGCAATGAGAGAAGGCATACAGCTTAATTGTGAAAAATGACTTGCAGAAGGCAGGTTGCTTGTTTGTAATTGCTGGGGTTTCACTTTACAAATATTAGGAGGGTCTGATGTGGTTGTAGATTTTGTACTTAAAGAAGAGGTAGTATATGTACCAGCTCCTACATTTGGAAGAGGGATAAAATAATAGAAAGAAGTCACATATTTTAGTGTTACTGTTCATAATAAAATAACTCAAGTACTAAACTGAAACTGGAAAATTTAATGTGTATACCTATCACATACTTATAAACTGCCCTGAGGCCAAAGCATTCTTTATAAAGCCTAGAGAAAGTTAGTAGAGAATTAAAACAAGGAAATAAAAAAAATAAAGCTCACAAAATAGATCAAGAATCTACACATTATAGCTTGGCATTAAACTGTCACACACACAATTATTATTTTTTTTTTTTACATTTCTTTGTGTCCTATTTCTTTTAACAGTGTCCATAATTTCCTTTACGTATATATAGGTATAGGTCCTTCACATCTTTTGTTAGGTTTATTCCTAAGTTAATTGCTATTTTTTGTTTCAATTTTAAAAGGGATGGTTTTCTTGACTTCTTCAGATTGATTGTGTATAGGAAGACTACTGATTTGTGTGTGTTGATTTTATATCCTGCTACTGTGCTGAACTGGTTGATTATTGTGAATAGTTCTGTGGAGTTTTTAGGATTCTCTCTATATAAATGATATTATCTGCAAATAGTGATAGGTTTACTTCTTTCCCATTTTAAAGGATACATGCAACCCTATGTTTATTGCAGCATTATTTACAATGGGTAAAACCTGGAACAGCCAAATGCCCAAAACTAGATGACTGGATCAAGAAGCTGTGGTATATATACACAATGGAACACTACTCAGCAATCAAAAAAGATAAATACATTCTCAGTGAAATAAGTCAGAAGGAAAAAGAAAAACTATCAAATGTTCACTTATAGGAGGAATACAAGAGAACCAATTAAGACACAGTGGGAAAAAGGTATATTGTTAGTACAAAACAAAAACAAACATAATTTTAAACCCCCTACAAGAGGGGGGTCAGAGAGGGATCAGAAGGAGAGAGGGAGGAATGTGCAGGACTATGGTAATGATCGTGGGGCAAAGCGGGGGGAGGGAGGGGAAGTAAACATTGTTTTAAAATGAACAGTAATGTAAATAGATACATAAGTTAGTAAAAAATAAATGTTAAAGAACAGCTTTTATTTATGGCTAGGCATAAAAATAACAGAAAATGTCAGAATGCTACGACTTAAGAGGTGTGAGGTGTGGAAGAAAACTAGACATGGAGCAAAAAAGCACTTGGATTCTAAAGGAAGAACTACAAACCTTCCCAGTCGTCGTGTTTTTGATCTTCCTACTACTTTGTCCTCCTGATTTCTGTACAGCCACATCCCCATCCACCCAGTAAACTGAAGTCCAAGCTAGTAAGTATAAGTGAAAATGCCTAGGCAAAGGTGGTGGGGAGCTTCAAAGGATTTTAAATAGGGAAGAGAGATATTTGGGATACTTCTCTTTAATTTGAACCTCTAGGTTTCTTAACACTTCTGACTCCAGATGACATCAAAATAACTACAGTACAACTCAAAAGACCAATTCTTTTGGCACTCAACACTGGCAAAGTATGTCAAAATACTGAGCAACAATTCTGTAATCCCTAACTGAAAACCAGTCAAAGGAAGTATAATCTACGGAAAAAGAGCCTTTCTTGCTTTTAGAACACTGGGAAAGTTTGAAACATAAATGGCTGTTTTCAACAGAATATGGAAAAGGGTATACTTGACTTGAAGCATCTCTTGTTAAGAACTGTAAATCTCCCAAATGGGAAAGAGTTCATCAGTTCGGTGAAATAGCAGTGAAAAAATTAATGAGAAAAGAAAAACACCTTTTGCTGGGGGTGCTGATGGATTCTCCTTTAAAACCAAACCAAGCCCATGGATTTCATTTATTCAAGTAACAGAGGCTGGAAATTCTCTACCGCTAACCCTTAATGGGGTATGTTTATCTATAACAAACCCAACAGATTTAGGTTAGTAACTTCTTCCAGTTAGACATAAATCGCAAAAAAAAAAAAAAGAAAGAAAAAGCCGTGTTACTGTCATTTCTGAGCTGATATAGTTATTTATGGGTTAAAATACAAAACCAAAAGGTGAATGTTATAAATTTAAGATGAAAAAGAAAACAGCTTTTCACCAGTCACTATTGGTAGCTACAATATTGCGGGAGGGGGTGGGGTAAGACTTTAAAGAAGGTTCAAAAAAGTGTTTAGTAAGCCATCAATATTTGCCAGACTAACCAAAAGTGAGAGAAGGCAAAGAAAGGGGGGTGAGAGAGAATGGGAATAAATTTACAAAACAACTATCTCATTCAATTTTACATCCTTCATAGCTTCCCCCACTCCAAACTGGAGAGGGCATTAAGTAGGAAATAACCTTAAGATATTTTAAATAATTTTAGGTATTTAAAGTAAAGGTATTAGAAAAATTTCACCTGACAGTGATGTTGTGGGAGTGACGGAAGCAACAGGAATCTGAGGCACTGACGCACTTGAGAATGAGTTGTAATTAGCAGTGGTAGGCCCACTGGCACTACTGCTCACTCCACTTGCAATTGGAGGTGCTGTGGAAGTTACTGGGGACCCCTTTTCTCTTACATTTGGAGAATTCTCCCATGCTTTGCGTGCAGACTCCATCTGCAATAAGATAGACATTTTAAAAAACAAATCAAAAAACCCCACTGCAACGGAACTTGATATATATGTATGTATGTGTGTGTATATGTATATATATACACACAAATATAATCTATATTTAAATTCCAAATAAAATCTTACAAAAACCACAAAATAAAAAAATTAAGAACCTTAGGGTTTTCAAACCTTCATTTTCCACTTTATGTCTGATCCTTTACTTAAATTGGGAGGAAATGGACTCTAATGATATCTTTACAGAGCTTGTAGGCAGCATGCTGACAAAATAATCACAGTTCCTGCATCACCTAAATGTAAGTCCATACCTTTAACCAGTGAATAAGCAAAATAAAATCATTAGACTGACTGAAGATCCAAACTCTGGTAGGAAAGGCACTAAACTACTTTGTAAATAAAAATCCGTCTCCCAGCACCCTCCTCCCTTTCCTCATTTCTTACTTTGTAAAAGCAAATAGTTCTCAGTGGCAGACCACAGGCATCTTTCCTTTGGCTGTTTTAAACTCAGTGTCTTAAAAGGCATGTAACTAGGTAGGCTTTACGCTTGAGTGCAATAAGCACTTTTGGTTCACTTCTAGACCTCACAAAGCAATTCAGATACTGACTTCTGTCACTTATGGCTATTGATTTTAGTTGTAGTCTACTAGTCTCTTAATTATACTTGCAAGCCACAAGTATAATTTTAAAGTTCCTAAATAAAATTTAAAATAATAAAAAGGTAAGACTAATTTTGACACTTTATCCAACTCATATGTTAGTATCATTTTTTGGTAATCAACATAAAACTTGGACTATTTTAATTCTTTAAAAATATTACTACTTCATGGTCTTAGCCATTTTATCTGGGAAAAAAATTAACATTTCAGATCTAGCATCTATTTTATTTTACATGTAAAAGCACACCACTCAATTTGGACTAGAATCCTTCAAGTATTCAGTAACATGATTAGTGAACTAGAGAGCACAGATGTAGATCCTTTAACTAAGCTGAGATTATAAACTATAAAATTTAGATGCAATGTACCTATAGAAAGCCGTTTTTTTTTTCAAATAATTTTTTAAATGTTGTTAGGAAATTTGTTCTTGAAGTAGCAATTTTATTTTTCTTCCTATTGACTTTTTAAAACACACTAAATATAACAACTCTTTCTTAAGAGACTAATGTCACTGTAATTAAAAAAATACAAAACAAACAAACAAAAAAACCCCACTGATATATAGTTGGGGTTATCTGGTATAATCACCTGGCTAACTCCAAATGGATTTAATTTTAAAACAAAAGTCTCAGGTTAAAAAAAAGTTAGGAAGTTAGCCTCACTGTTTATGTTATCTGAGACATAAAGTTACGAGTAACTTCAAAACTTTATACCAGTTTTGTTAATGTTATTTATACCAGCTTAATGTGAAATAGATTACAGCTGTGCAATTACCATGATGGGTCAAAACCACATATATAAGAAGTGATAAGGAACAAAGAATGAGATAACCATTCAAACAGAAAACAACACAGGTTGAACAGGAATTGGCAGTAAACACTGAAGACTGGGTAAAAATAGGGTTGACACAAAGAGAGGAGGCTCTATCTTGTAAGGTTTTATCATCTCATACTAAAAAAGTAGACAGGGAACAAAGGAACAGGTGGTCAGAAGACCAGATATTCAAACAGAAACAAGAAGCCACATTGTAAAAAGACTTAATTTCCCAATTTCCTGAAGACCGAAGATGGTCAAAAGATTTCGCTGTCAACCAGTGCTGAGTTACAGGAGCCCTGCTATAACAGGGTAAGTATGTGCCCAGATCATAACACTGAAGAAACAGCACCAATGAAATAGTGCATTCAAAAAATTCCTCAATTTTGCATCTCCACTTTTGGAATAACTGATTAATTTTGAAGTAACATGTGATTTTAAACTTTTTAAATAACGTAATTATAAAAACACATTAGCAATCCAAAATTGTATTTTAAAAAACAAAAACCCTTTTGCCCTCTTATCACCACCTCCTAACATATTCTATTTACTATATTGCATTCATTCAAATTCACACGTGATTTACAGGAAAGACAGAAAACTGACATTATTACCATTAACAGTATTTAGGGCTGATATATCAAAAAATTAAGATTTCTGACAGGAACTCATTTTAAGTAGGGGGTACAAATTACTCACAAGCATAACAGGCCTCACTTTAAATACAAGGTATCAAAGTCACTAAGCGATACCAGAAGTGAATACAATTTTAAAGTCCAATTTGACATCACTTAATTTCCTCAGCTTTGCATGTTGCTTATCCAACAAAATTAGTACAAATATCACAAAGACTAGTGTTAACTTTGTCCCCTTGCATGCAATAATCAAGGACCCTTAGAGACAGATGTCGTACATACCTTGAAGGTGAGGCTGAAAGTAGTGGGAGGAACTGAAGTTAGGCTGGAGCTCTGTTGTATAGTCTCCCTCTTAGGGAGGGGAAGGGTGTTGGGCAGGGGCACCTGAAAAGGTAGGCAACATATATCACAATCTAACTAACTAAGTCTGCCGCAAAAGCCCCATTAAAGATAGTGCTAATATATTCTAAGGGCGCTTTATTTTTTATCAGGGCCGATAGGAATATAGGATTACGAGCACTGCACTGTGTGTAGATATAATAAACACACCTTACACCTAAGATGTAAGATGATTTTGGACATCTTAGATAAAACTTCTAAAGAGAAGTACTGTCTTTTTATTCATAAGTTTACAGAAAGTCTGTCCCTCAAAATAAGATACATACTTGAAGACAGTGCTTCTCCTATTTCAAAGAGTCTACAAATCACCTGGGAAGTTGTTTTAAACTTAGATCGTGACACATTTGGTATGGGTAAGGCATGAAATGGTGCATATTGAACAAGCTCCCAGGTGACAATGATGTTGCTAATTCTGTGTATTAAAGCTGTAAGTTCTACCAATCAGAAGCATCTCACATGATAGTATGAATACAAGAAATTAACCTCTTTCCTGGAATACGTAACTTTCTTACCACTAGATTCAAGGGTGACACTGTCCTCCACCTTTTTGTTACTGGACACATTGCTTTGCTCTAGACATGATTACGGCATGTAATTTTTAGAAACTTTAAGATATTAGAAACTTACTACCACAACTCTTTTTCTTCCAAGAATCTAGTCTTGAGATTTATTAGGTCTGGCTATGAGTAATTTCAAAACCTCAGTTGCTCAGGTAAAACTGGGATGCTTGGAGGTTTTAAGACAAGTACTTTGTGATACTATGGACTAACAGTTTATAATTCTACTATCTACTTGGTGGAAATTATCTGATATATCTTTAAAATAGCGGTTATAATGCTGTAATAATCAAAACCACCAACCTGTATTTAAACCTTCAGTACATTCAAGATTCAAAACAATTACCATAAAATTCAAAACCAATTGTAATATGGTTTATCAGGTTGTATGAACCAACCTCAGCTTACATCCTTAAAAAATATACATCCCATTTAGGGGAATAAACCTTTTATAAATAACTATTTTTTTAAAATACAAAAGTTCTTTGCATAAACTGAAATTCTCCTCAAATTAATTAACAAAAAAGGAACATTTCAAAAGATGCTGTAATTTTTCCAAGCAGGACATTTGTTTTTAATACTACATTAAGACAGTAACACTATGAAAATCATTCCAAATTGAGGCCATCGTTAATGTTCTTTTAACGTTAAGTGTTACCCAACACACTCTGATGTTATGCTATGCTATATGTCAAATACCTAGTCACACAACTGATTCTCTTCCTTTAGTTGCCCTCCATGCATAAATTAATTAGCCTTACAGATAAATGCTCATGGAAATTTTCAATGTCTTTTACAAATTGTGAGTTATGATGAAATTTTTTCCCTATTAATATTTCACAAATTATCTTTTTAGAGGGTATTTTGGCAAGAAGCATCATATACTTCCTTGAAAAGGTTACATCTTTGAAATATTCTTTTTTTTTTTAAATTAAGAAAAGATTACACAGTGAAAAAGCATAAACTGGGAGATACTACTGAGTTGATATATGACAGTCCACACTGTGACACTTAATCTGACAGGAAATCTTTTCTTCTTTCACAAGTTTTATATTCTTTCTATAGGAAGTAAGTAACTACTCTCAAAAAGATTAGGGAAAAAGGATTTGGCAAATAAAGTCTCCTAACATGTGAAAGTTGGGGGAATTCAGCTCTCAAAGCACTTGTGTTATCATTAGGAGAAAAAGGGATTTACTCTTTTCTCTTCCTTTTCCCCAGCTACATACTAAGAAAGTCAGATCAAATGATCCTCAAATGCATCTCAGTTCCCTAGCATCTTTTTGATGCTAATGAATAGAATGCACAGGAAAGAACTGTAAGAAGACAGAACAGATTTTTATTCTCAAAAAGGACAGAGTTAAAAAAAGCCCTTTGTAAGAGACCTTTAAATCAAAACTTTTGAAAAGAATGACCACCACTTGGGTCTGACTGCCTCTGCTATTACAGAATGCTGTACTTAAGAGAACAGTTGATGAATTTTCCACTATAACTGCCCTCCAAAACAAGGGTTACAAACACATAATTTCTAATAAGTTCTTCTGCCATGGCAAGTAAGGTAACTTTGGGCACGTTTGGGGAAGGCAGCATTTTTCATCTATCATTCAAGAAAGTAGGCAAACTGATGGGGCTGTGCTGATTTTCAACACAAACTGGAATTATAGCTGCTCCAGGAAGCACTATTTACAACATGACTTAATAGAATACTTTTTAAGAGCTTTGGTAGCAGTTACATAATTGAAGTCTCACAACAGGAATATTGTTAGATTGAGTATATTTTTTTTAATCGAAAAGAAATACTGGAATCACTGAAAACACTCCAGTTGTCTTTTTAAATATTTTTTCTTTCTTTCTTTTTTTTACATCATTCTTCATTTCTGTTGTCTTTTTAAAGTGAATTAGTTTTTCACTATATTGTGAAAAAGTTTAATTTAGGCACAAAATCATTAAATACAATGTCAACTTTGTGAAAGAAAAAAACTCTTACCAAAACTAGGTTAATAGGGTTAGTAATTATGAAATCAAGTATTAACAGCACCAGAAAGGGTGTCTTGAAAAAAGTTGAGGACTTTCAGGGGTAAAACAAAACAAAAACTCAGCTCTGGCTATTTTTGCTAATTATACTACAGTACAATACAAACTTAGTACTAACTTTCTCTGAGTTAAACATTGGTCATGCAGCTTATGTACTATATAAAAATAGCCAGGCTCCTATCCAAACTTGCCACATCTCAGGATGATTACTTACATTATTAACCAAAGTATCCTCCATCTTTGCATTATTAGTAGACACAGTGTTAGGCAGAGAAGAAGGTGTAGTATAGTCTGTTACAGACTCCTGTAGAATAGTAATAGAAAAGAAAAGAAAAGAAAAAAAGTTCAAACTGAATTAATGAAACATTTTCTAATGGAAGCCTAACAGTTGTAAAGTGCTTTTGGAAGAAAGCAAGAGAGAAAAGATCTTAAGACTCAATTCACTCAAATCTTATAGACAAATAGATGCAAAAACAAACATGAACCTACCACGAAGTACTTCATGTTACCATGAAGTAACATTTTAACTATTCTTGGGGACTTATACATATTTTTTAAATGCATGCAGTATAACTAGGAGGTTGTGATCATTATAAAATATAACTGAGTTGGATCATGAGAGCATTTCCCTACATACAGTGAGCCGTACAGTAATGAAAAAGGAAAAATGTTAAAATAACATAAAAGATCCCATCTTTCTTCTGAGAGTGTATCTGGCCACAAACACCAAAAGACAGATAATAATTTGCTATTCCCACAACAGTTAGTACCTGTAAGCCACTCAGTATGTCTTAGTATGAGTATTTTTAAACCTAGGCATCTCATTCAAAGTGACCCTGAAATTTGAGCCAACTACATTTGCTGGCACTCAACCAGTGTATTGGTGATCTGTACCAAACCTGAAAGAAAACGGGCGCTACTGGGAGTTTTCTTGACTTCACAATCTCACTAGTGAACAAGATGACGTTCCACTATAACTCCAAGATATAAAACATAATACAGAGCCATTTTTTCAAAGTTTACAACTCCAATAAAAAACATTCCAATCTCGTGCAGACATTGTTTTTACTTTAAGCACGAACTTAAATCAATATAGAGTTAGTTTCCACAGAAAGAAATTTACTGTTAGGGCTATTTTTTACATATTCACACCAACGTAAATCCTCTTTATATTAATAACCCATCTTGTCTGTAAAATTAGGTGTTGCTAGCAAAATGAAACAAGCATATGGTTGCTGTTTTCTCCACTCATTTCAGACATGGTTTGTATCAGTTTGAACTGGTACCTACTGCACACCGCCTACCTTTGTATTACTGCCATATTCTGCAGATGACACTGAAATCATCGTTCCGATTTCTGTAGACATTTCTGGAACTGCTTTGGTTTCCTTTGTTGTCACAGGATCTGCACTTCTGACAGGAGCAGGGCTTGGTTTCTCTTGTCCTTCTGGCTCTACCTGTTGAGCATCTTTTACTTTTCTATTTTTTAATGAACGTTCCTTTCCAATAGGGCCTGGTTTATGCTCTTTGTTTTCTACTGGACTCAGATCTGGAAGCTAAATTAAAATTTTATAATTAAAAATGACATAACAAATGCATCAAAGACCTTCAATGAAAACTAAGTTTAATTTAAAAACTGTTCCCTGTATGCACTGGTGGCACCCATACTATTAAATCTGAAATAGGAATTGTATTTGCCTTTTGGGCTTTGATAGGGCCTGCTCGTGGCTGCTTCTGCCGTTGTTCTTTAGGTTCAGGTACTTTGTCAGCAGTTTTGTCCGAAAGTACGGGAACAATTTCATTTTCATTCCCATTTGAAGCTGGAGCACCAAACTGAATTGTTTCAATTCCAAGTTCAACTCCACTTTCCTGACCATTCTTTGTTCCCTAGCAAGAGGTTAAAAAAAAAAAATTGTTATTAAGGCAAACAATTCAAATTTGACCGAAAGTTCTGAAATCCCCTACATATTTACTGACATTAAACAACTCTAAGCCTTAGGACCAAGTTTCCCTTCACAGCTACTGATCTATGTTAGAAACCAACTGCTAAAATTAAAACTAGACAAGAGTTAACACTTTTAAAAGTTCTAATTCTTCTGAGTGTGATATGGGCAAACAACAGTCTCAAGTTATTTTATCATTTAAAGCAAAAATCATACAAAGGTACCACCACCACCAAGTAAAACAGAGAAGTCGGGGAGAAGAAAGTGCAGTAGTACTGTCATCTACTTCTAAGGTGTGTGCTTTGAAATTAAAGCGAAATGATACACAAAGTGTACACACACACTTTAGGAATCTAGTCACCAATTATTGTTCTTTAGTTGGGAAGTCAGAAAGGGTCTTGCAAATTAAAATACAGTTAAGATACTTGATATTAGTGAAATAGAAAGCCCTGGAGTTCACAATGAAAATAATAAACCTAAAAAACAGCTGTGTAAAATGTTTCTGGCATAGCAAATTCCTAGTATACAGGTCAAGAATAAAAACGTAGCAAAGATAGAACATACCAGTAACAATTACTTAAGGCTTGTCATTTAGGTTTATACTTGTTATCTGAGTATTGAATTTTAAATTTGTCAAGATTACTGAGGTAACAGGATAAAAGCCTATTTGCTCTAATTGTTGTTGAAATTCAGTACAATTTTGGTTAGTATTAGAAGAACAAAATGATGTGGTAATGACCAAAAGTCATTAGTTTTATGTATGAAAACAATTCAGAACTCACAGTTAAATGATTAGGAAAACAGGCTGACAGTTGATATGACTATTAGGGAAAGTTAATTTTAGGATGAATAGTATATACTTTGAAACAACAAAATGCTTATAAAACATACATAATACAAGAAGGCCAATAAAACTTTGGTTAACTATTAAGGACTCTATTTTTTATTAGTCATTCAAGAAGAAATCTCCTTAAGGGTTTCTTTCTAGTCTTTGAAATGAATTAAGAGTATCAATTTGACCAATTAAAAACTCCACCATGACAAATCCCAAAATTATGCACAATAGATATCCACCCCAAAGTCACTTTCCATTCAGAAAACATAAAGAACACTAAGAAAACTGAGTCACCAAAGAAAAATTTATTGTTCCTCTAACTGGTGGAAGGTGAATGTAAGTTTCCTGTTAGTATTACAGTTAACAGAGTATCTGCAAGAAAAACCTTATAGCCACAAGTGCTGAGAAATTATTATACCTATACTTTAAGGTCAAAGAAAATACTTGGATCAAACATTTTAATAAAATTACCAGAACTGGTGCATCCAACCAAAACAAAAAAAATAAATAACAAAAAAATAAATTTCCCATTCCAGTCTTCATATTGGTATGAAAAATCCTGCAATTTCTAGGTAAGAAATGTTCTCTAAAATTAAGTATAACGCTAATACCAACAGGCAGGGGAAAAAAAAATGAAGCTGAGACTCTTTAATTCTAGATGCATGGTTTAAAATTAAATAAAAAAAAACAAACCAAATAAACCCCCCCACCAAGTTTCACCTATCAACTTTATTCACTGATCACTTCCTTGCTCCCCCTTTTAGAACAAAAATACTGGATAAATTCCCTACCCCTTTCTCTAAGAATTTGATACCTACTGTTTCACCAATATTTCTTGTTAAAAGTTACTTGACATTTCTCAGATTGTATAATAAATCTACCATGTCTAACACTAAACTGTTCTATTTTCTACACCCAAGGCTTATCCATTTGCTACAAGTGTGGGAGGGGGGGCTTACAATCTCAATTGATGGGAACTCCATTTCACTGTTCAAAAACTTTGTTGATAACTTTCTTCTTATAGCACACATTTAATCCACCTGTTAATTTACATCTTCAAATACCCAGAAACCAATCATCTCTCATCATCTATATTGGCATTGCCCTGGTTTAAAAGACACCATCATCTGATTTATTGGAGTATCTTCTTATCTTCTATTTTTTGTCCTCTCCAAACTATTGCTAATAGGTTACCCAGAAAATTCTTTTTATAACAGTCAAGTCATAACATTCTTTTTTTTTTATATTTATTTATTTATGTACACATAACTGGGGTGAAGGCCAGAGGTACAGGAGGGTGAGGATTTATCAGGGACAGTGGAGCAGAACAAGTAGATGGACTTTCCCTGCTGAGGGGAAGGGCAGGCCGGTCAGGAGAGGTCTGCTGTGCTATGTGGGGTGAGTTCTGTGGCTGGTGATTGAACTCATGCTGCAGTGGCTGCCAATGCCCTCACAGTGCCCAGACTTTAAACCCTTTTGCTACCAGAGAGGTCCCCAATCATTCTTTTGCTCTTTCTACCACTCCTTAAAGCTTTTATCCAGTTCATTTCCTAATATATTTGCAATCTCCCTCCAGCCCTTTACCCCATAAAAGGAACTCCCTAATCTTCCTCAAACACATCAGGCAAGCTACTATCTCAAGGTTTTTGTATTTGCTATTTTCCGAAAAGAGAATTCCCTTTACCTGAGATTATTTGAATAGCATGCTCTTACTTATTTCAAATGTCACCTCAGTAAGTTTTCCTGGCCGTCCTATTTTAAACATCTCCATTCCATGGGAAACTTTTTTGGACACCTTCCCTACTTTGCTTTTTTTCTCGGACTACAACTTAACATTCTGTATGCCAGTCTCCCACATTCAATGAAATCCCTATGGGTAAAGGACTTTTCCTTCATTTTCAGCCACCTTTGGTGTTTGAAATGTGTTTTGTAAGCCCAGAGGTTATAAAACAGCACATTGCAAGTGCTCAATAAATGAAAGTGCTGCTGACCTAGATAAGTTTATTTACCAATGTTTATTGCAAATGTTTAAGAAGCTATGTTAGAAAAACCTCTTGCAAACTGTAAGTAATTGTACTAATTAATCATCAAGCTAAAAACAAGGCAGAAAAGTTCAGAAAGCAGTAACTGTGCTTATATTCTCTGTATAAGGACTTTTGAGAATAGAATAAAAAAACAAAAAACAAAAACCATGACATGTCTAAAGATGAGATCAGCTAATAAATGTAGAGATCCAGTAGCATTAGCATCACTTATTAAAAATATACTCAGGCCTTAAGTCAGACCTAAGTGATCAGAAACTGGACATTATTACCACGCAATTTAACTAATGAGGGCTCTAGGTGCTTGTGATACATGCTAAAGGTTGAGAAAAGGTTCTAAAGAAGATCTGTCACATTAACCTCAGAAAAGCCATTAGAAAGTTTATTCCTACCTCTGTTGAAGTAGCTGATCCAAATGATGTTAGGGGTTTATTCCAGGCACTGACTGAGGGTGGCTGTGGTGGACTAATGGGACCTACTGAAAGGAGGAGGAAATGAAATCATTAAAATTTATAAGTTTATAATAATTCCTACTCCATTTAACCCTTTCTCTCAATGGTTAAATGAAAATAAAACAACTTTGCACATTGTATGTAACAAGATTCTTACATAGCACAGTCAGTATAACTCCCCAAACACTGTCCATTTTTTACCAATCCAAATTTGTGCCCACAATTAAAAAAATAAAAAAAATAAAATAAAAAAAAGCATAACACGCTTGTTTTAGAAACAAAGTTTCTTTCTTTTTTAAGAAAGAAAATTAAAAAAGCATTACTATTACTATTCCCTAATGAGAAAAAGGAGATGACTAGGAAAAGTATGGAGCATGCAAAAGTGAAAAGCATCCCAATTTTCCCAAACCATTCCCCAACCTTTGCTTCTCTATTGCACACTCACATTTCTTAGAGATGTCATTCAGCACAGTTGGGGGGGGCACCTTGTTATCCCATAATTCAGTTGCAAGAGTGCTGTGTGACTGTGAGCTCTGAAGGGATTTTCCTGTGGCTGCATAATCAGTGCCGTTAGGTGTTTGAGCTGAAGGTAGTCTAATGGAAGGTGGTGGCTGTTTTGAAGACTGTGATGAAGTCTGCAGTGTACTCTGGGCTGATTTATGAGTCTGTCCTTGAGTGTGGGCTGGGGTTGTGGGAGCTGGTGTAGGAACAGGGGATGGGATGGGGGCTGTGGCTGAAGCTGGGATTGGGGATGGGACTGAAGCTGGGGCAGTGGATGTTGGAGCAGGTGGGACCGAGGAAAGAGCTGTTGGGGCTGAGACAGCAGGGGTAGTTGGAGCTGAGACAGTCAGGGCTGGAGCTGGAGAGGAAGTTGGTGCCAGGGCTGAGGCAAGAATGGGGGCAGAGGCTGGAATTGAAGCTGAAGCAAGGATGGGAGTTGGAGCTGGAGCTGAAGAAGGGGTTGTGGCTGGTGCTGAGGTGGAGGCTGGCACAGGAGTTGAAGTGGGGGTTGAAACTAGTACTGAGGTGGAGGCTAGAACAGGAGCTGTGGCTGAGGTTAGAACTGGGGCTGAGGGTGATGTTAGAACTGGAACAGGGGTTGAGGCTGAGGCTGGGGCTGAGGTTGAGGTTGAAGGTGGAGTAGAAGTTGAGGTCGAAGCTGGTACTAAGGCTGGAGACTGAGTTTGCTGGATCCCTATAACCTGTTTTTTGGCAAATCTTGGTGGAAGCTTAGAACTTTGACTTCTTCCTTTTTCATTTGCATTATTCTTTTTGTTCCAGACCTTTAAAAATTAGTAGAAATTACTTTATCAGTAATATAGCTAGAAGCAAGAGTTCATGAATATAATATCCAACAAAATTACTGACTGCTAAATTAGCACCTTTGGTTTTCAAAATATGCACTTAAAATACAAAAAAATATTAAGGCTGCTAATGAGATTTAAAACTATGACATAAAAAGATGCTTTAGGGAAAAAGGAAAATACATTATACACCCTACCTATACTAGATTCTAGATTGTCCACAAGTCTGAAATTCAAAAAACTAAGTTTGCAGGGAAAATGTTTGCCAGCAAAATCTGAATGGATTTGATACTCCCTATATCCTCACTACCACCTCCCCCCCCCAACCAAAACCAAAATTGTTTACTGGCTTCACTTATATGCTTGCCACACAAACATTAATTCTGGTTTTTTTTTGGTTGGTGTTGCTGGTTTTTTTTTTTTTTTTGGCTACATAGGATACATATACTAATAATTTTAGCTTTAGAAAATTAATAAATGACCTATGAAAATATTTAGTCCTGAGTATTATAATATTCAAGTGAATGCAATACTACCATTGTGCAGCATTTTTACATAATTTCCTGTTAAGTCTTCTCATCTATCAGAGCTCTTTAACACTATGATCCATGAATTCTGTTTATTTTCATTTTGTGTTAATACTTAGCAAAGTGAGTGTTTTTCTTGATTCATATTGTGTACTTAAGTGAACTAATTTAGATTTCAAAATTTTGTTTTTGTAGGTCCAAAATCTACAATCTATTGGATCACAGCACAGAAGTAGTGTTCATTGGGTTTCCAAGCTAATTTAAAATTAATTTCCACGAACTAATATGGGGTAAACAAGATGATCATTAGTAAAACATAAAATATATGTTGTTGAATTAAAGATGGTCTAAAAGTAGTAAATAGAAGAGGAAAGTGGGGTGGTTTGTAAACTGGGTAAAGGGGATCAATTTTATGGTAAAGAGTATAATTGGGCTTTTAGTGGTTATATATTTAATAAACAATATACAGATGTTGACTTTTAATGATGCAAACCTGAAACTTACATAACGTTATCTTGCACTGTCACTTCAATAAAACATTAAAAATAGAAATGGTTCAGGGCCCTCCCTGGTGGTGCAGCAGGTTAAAGTACAGAACTAAGAAGCTAAAGTCACTTCAGCATGAGTTCGATCCCCAATTGCCCTGGAGGTGGATACACATGGCACGGCAGACCTCTCCTGACCCCTCAGCGGTGTACTTCATCAGTTGGCCTGTTCTGCTCCCCACTCTGTCTTTGGTGAATCCTCTCACTGCCCATGCACCTCTGGCCTGTACCCCAGTTCTATATGCATAAATAAAGAAACTCTTAAAAATAATAAAAAAAGAAATGGTCCATTCTAAGGCAAGTAAATGAATCACAGTATTTATATTGTACTTAATTAAGATATACCTCAATTCTGGTTAAATAGTTGAAAGTGCTGAAAAATCAAGTCATTCTCAACAGGTGAGTAATAAGTACAGGCTTGATATATAGGTGGGTAGAAATTTCAACCATTTGCTAGTATTTTCTGCAACATTCTAAATCACTTGGAAAAATCGAAATACTAAACCTGTATGATTTGTTCTTCCTTTTTCCGACGTTCCTCATCCTGTAATCGTTTTTGTTGTTTTTTGGATACTACCTCAGTAAAACCATCATCATTCAAATTTGACTGAGGATCTTCAACTACTGTTACTTCAGGATGGTCATCAATTATAACAACACCTGCGGGTAAGAAAAAGATCTGCAATTTTTTTTCTATCAAGTGAAAAATATAAATATTTGTCCTGGTGGTGTTTTTTCCTCATAAAAGGAGACAAGCCAAAGATCCTATAACACAGATCGTAGTCCATTTTCCCTTCAGTAAGAAGGCCAATCAAAAGTAAGTCTGAAGAGACTTCATAAACAAGGCACAAGATAAAAGCCCTAAAGCCATCTGAATGATATATATAGCCATTTGAACGATATATACCTTTTCTTCTCTTAGGCAACATAGTGATAATGCAACTACATTGATAAAAAATTTTTGATAAAGTAATTTGATTTAAATGATCAAAATTATATCAGTACCTTAGTGAAGTCATTTAATCTTTACATCTCTGAGCCTCACCTCTATAGTGTGCTATAAAGATCTAGATAGCATTACCTTATTTGCATCTAATCATTCTAAGAGGTATTACAATTTCCCTTCTGAAAGGACAAAATAAGCTGAGGAAGTAACAAGCCAAGCTGGTCCTATGATTCTCAGAGTCTGTTTAATGCAGACCAACGTCTATAGACCATGATATGTAAGTGAAAGTTCCACAAGAATGTTAAGTGAAGTAAATGGCATACATAATAGTAACCTAGTAACAGGATGAATTATTCAAGATACATTTTCAGCTCATTGTCCAAATAACACTTATTTTGACTACCCTGTTAAGATTATCAGACATCATAGTGGGTATTATGAAATCTAGATTAAATAATATTTCAAAGATAACTGGAAATAGCTGAAGCATGTGATTTCTGGTTGTAGGCATGTTTACACAATAAACAGAAGAAAACAATGAGACAATTAAAATAAAAAAATTCATTCTGGGCTCTCCCTGGTGGCTCCACGGGTTAAAGCACCACATTATGAAGCTCTCCGAAGCCACTGCAGCATGAGTTCGATTCCCGGCCCGGGAGCTGACCCAGATGGCATGGCCTCTCCTGGCCTGCTCACTGCTCCCTTCAGCAGTGTATTTCAGTAGACCTGCCTGTTCTGCTACCCACTCTGTCTCTGGTGAATCTTCTCACCCACTACCACTCTGGCCTGTACCCCAGTTCTGTAAGCGTAAATAAATAAATCTTAAAAAAAAAAAATTCATTCTGCAAACTATGATATAGTTAATGGGGAACATATAAAAAACAAACAGTAATAAACACATAAATTCAAGATGTTGCTAACTTTTTTAAATAAGCTACTACATCATATACTAATTAGACATGATAATGAATGATACAGAAGCATCATTCCCACCTGTGGTTTTTATCTGGTACCATAATTCAATCTAGACATAATGTACTGGATGATGTGCCAACTGTAATCAAACCTCCAGGTCTGTGAGTGGGTTACCCTTTTAATGGGGAACTCCAACTTTTAACAGCAATTATCAGGTCAACTATACCAATATTTCTTAAAACAATGCCTTCATCACCAAAGCAGGTTATGAATGAATTTCAAATGGAACCTGGCAGATGGTGATGACTTTTGAAGTTTCGCAAGAGACCACAATTAAGGAGTGATTCAGAGGGAATTTACCACAGGTGATTCTTCTAAAATACTGTTTTTCCAATAAAAACTTGATTTTAAAGTGAAAGAAAAAAAACACACACACAAAAAACAAAAACAACCCTGATTTTGATATATGTATGTACTTCTATTGGTCTTTAAAAATTATTTAACAAATTAACTATAACATGGACCATGAGCTCATTTCGATGACATGTCTTTGCCTAACATTTTAAGCAATGGCATGTACTTCATTATTTCAGACTGGTATGAAAAGCTTTTATAATTCTAAATTCATCTCAGTTTTACATTTACACTATACAATTTATCTTCATAGCCATATCACTCATTTAAGTTTTCTTGTTAAGGAACTTCTTTAGAGCACTGGGGAGGGTTTCTTCATTCAACAACACAGTTATGGAAATATGAACAATAATCTGTTTCACATGCTTTTCTTGCCTGGTGCTTTGTAATATTTTGGGTTGAAGAGGCATGACTTAAATGACATTACTAGGAAACCTACCTAAAGATGACTAACTCTTGAATTTAACTTTAGTAAGTTAAAATGAATAGTTCAATTTCCATCTCAATTTTTGAAAAACAACCATGCTCTTGCCATCACGTGTCTGTTCTAAAGGTCTTTTAAAAGAAGAAAAACTGGTAAATAAAGAGCTGGGAAAAAAATCCGTCATGCTCTTGTGGATCACCATAAGGGTGGCATTTAAACTTCCTATGGATTTCAGGTGATCTCTCTAACTTAGGCCATTCCATCTTCATTATTATTAACCTGTGGGTTTGTTGTCCCTCCTGTGCATTGCAATGTGAATACAAGTATCCCGGGCTTACATCCAATTTGTGTCATTAGCATCCCCACCCCAAGTTGTGATTTTGCCACCCCCTAGTGCAAAATCAAGTCTATTCAGAAGCACTGCTCTAAATAATCCAAGCAAAAACTTAGACAATAAAAATGCATAAAAATGCAATAAAGTTTTAACTCAGTCCTAAATGGTTTCTAGAGCAGCAGTTTTCAAATGTTAGCACACAAAGGAATCACCAAAAGAATCCATTTAAACAGATTACTATACACACTGGGGTAGTGATTAAGGTCTTTCATTTCACACAATGCTCAGATGATGCTGATGGTCTAAGAATCACACTAGGAAACAGTGGTCTACAAATTATAAGTTAAGACCTGGACCCAAATCAGAGTTCAGTAACTAGGGTGAAAGAAAACTATCATCTATACCTCTAATACTGGAATAATAGGACCCATCTGGGCTTAACTTAAAAGATCTTTCCACTTTACTCATTTCCAGCTCAAGTTTCATCTGAATGGGAAACAGCTCATTTTTCCTTATATATAATCCTTGTTGACTTCCTCATCAAAGATCTTATTTGTCCTGTGCTTTCCTCAAAGAGTTTTATATTTATATTAAAAATTTTACATTTTGGTCTATGACCCTTCTTCACATTCAAAAAAATTCTTATTTGTGTTACTCTACACATTTGAACAGTCTATGACTTCAGGGCTTTCTGAAAGTATTCATCCACAGCAAAACTGCTTCCCGAGCTATTATTCCATTTATTGTACCTTAATCACCAACTTTATCAGGGCCATAACTCACTGAGTTTGACATTTCCTTCTTTAATCTTGTAAGGACATGGTATTGATAAAGATGTAAGTTAGCATCTTTATTTGGTTTTGTGTGCCTCCCTTTCCCTTTTGGCAAAGTAAAGTGATTACTTAATCCTCTTCTTTTTTATGAAGAACAGTAAAACTCTGGGATATTTTTAACAAGATTTATCAAGCTTCAAAGGCTATTCAAAAAGTTGCTATTTTAGTTCAGTTTAAATCAGTTAATGTTCATAATCAGTACCTATCTCCACCTTGTAAGTCCAACTCTTTCCTTACTTGATGACATTTTTATTTATAGCAACCATTAAAATATAACAAACAGATGAAATCACGAGACATACTTGCATAATTGTTGAGATCAAATTGTGAGAGTGCATCTACTTTCTCTTTGGGTTTTTTAGGTCCTGGTTTGGGATCTTCTCTTTTTTTCCCAGCAGGATCTTTGGGGTTCTTTTGTCCTGTACTATTAGGTGTTCCTTCCTGATGGTGAGCAGAGCTGCCATTGACAGGATCAACACTAGTATTACCTGCAGACTGGTCATCAAATGGCCTACAAAATAATAAATGGACATATTACAACTTCTGCTTACCTGAAGACAAGCAAAATACTTACTGGCAATGGCGAGAGTACAATAAAAAAAAAAAAGGGATAGAAGATGCTAACTCTAAACCATTAAATCTTAGTATCTGTGTTGAGTGCAACTTTATTAAAAACAGCTTTCCAAAAAAGGAGACAGATTAGCTCTCTAGAGTACTTTTCAGCCATTAAATTCCTGATTTTATTTACTCCCCCCCCAAATTCTAATTGCATCTATTTTGTTCTGTGTTCAAGTTGTTGATTATGTTCAAGTTAATCAACATCATTTGGAAAAAAAAAAAACTATTTTATTTATTTACGCATACAAGAGCTGAGGTATGGGCCAGAGGTGTGGAGATGGTGAGAGGATTCACAAGAGACAAGAGTGGGGAGCAGAATAAACAGATCGACTGAAATATACTGCTGAGGATAGCAGGAGGAGAGACAGGAGAGGTCTGCTATGCCATAAGTGGGTCAACTCACTGTCCAGGGATCAAACTCATGCTGCAGTGGCTGCTGGTAGCTTCATAGTGCTGAGATTAACCCCTGCATCACCAGAAAATCTTAAGTGGGGACCTCCCTGGTGGTATAGGAGGGTAAAGTCTCAGCACTAATGTGCTACCACCATTGTGGACTGAGTTTACTCCCTGACCAGGGAGCTGACCCACAGACCACTCCTGTTTCACCCACTGCTCCCTTCAGCAGTGTATTTCAGTAGATTTGCCTGTTTTGTTCCCTACTCTGTCTCTGGTGAATCCTTTTACCCCCTGCTTCCCAGTGCTTGTATGAATAAAGTAATAAAACAAATCTTTAAAAGAAAAGAAATTCTTAACTGGATCATTATAACTTTTCATCCTCTTTTCAAGTTGAGAATTCTGAGACCCAGACAGTTCCAATTTGATCTGAAGAGTCTACCATAGTAACAAATGAATCATCTCCACAAGAGGGCAGCATATGAAAAGTTTTTAAAAAGCATGTTAGGTTTTCCCATATTTCCCATTTTTTAAGTTTAATCAGATCTATACATTAATATACATATAAAAAAGTCACTTTTAACTTGTAAACAATTCACTTTATAAACCAAATATCTACTTCCAGAGTTCTGTAATAGATCAATAGAAGTAGGCCAATTCTCCTTTTGGGTTCATTTTATAAAAAGTTCCTGTATCATAAAAAAGATTATGATTTCCCTTGAGTATTATTATTTGAAATTTTAATAGTTCCTATCATCAGTAACTGTTTCTATAGTAATCATATGTATTTTGCTGATTCTTTAGAAATTTTAATATTTTCCTGAATTATCAGAATTCAAAAATAACTTTTGCTTACAGATATATATAGCAACCTGAAGTACTAAGTATATGTAATTATCATATGGATTAATATATGATTTGAATGAATTTCTTATAAACTCAGGCCGCAAACCTGAGAATTTGGTTAAAAAAGAGGGTACAGGCCCTCCCTGGTGGTGCAGCGGGTTAAAGCACAGCACTGAGAATCTAAAGCCACTTCCGCATGAGTTCGATTCCCGCCTGCCCCGGAGGTGACCACATGGCGAGGCAGACCTCTCCTGACCCGCCCGCTGCTCCCCTCAGCAGTGTACTTCCATGATCTGCCTGTTCTGCTCCCTACTCTGTCTCTGGTGAATCCTCTCACCCTCCGCAACTCTGGCCTGTACCCCAGTTCTGTATGAATAAATAAGTAAATTAAAAAAAAAAAAAAAAGAGGGTACAATGTAATACTATTTGCTCAATATGCTGTGTTAAGCATTACACAAAATACTATGTTAGTGATCTTATAAGAGCATATATAATAAGTTTGTAATTTTCTAAGTACTATTATTACTTTCCACTTTACTCGTAAGAGGTAGAGAATTTATACAACTCCTAAGTACCAGGCCCAGATTTAAAACTAGGCTTATAGCTACTTAATCTTTCCTCACACTAAGGAACTCCTTAATAGTATAATCAATAAAAATAGAATGACTCAGTTTAGTACAATTTAGGAACATTCTTTGTAAAAACAGAGTATTTGTTACTGGTGGCCTTGGTAGTTGGATAGAGCTTTGCTTTCTTAGCCAGTATTTATGCTGGATGGGTTACTGTAGGCTTGGAACTCGAAAGGAGGAAGTAATTTATCTTTAGGGTTAAATATTCACTCTGTTAAAGTTATAATGTATATGGTTACAACATAATAATTTAACTCCTAACTCTCTGTAAGAACCAGAACTCAAGAGAAAACAGAAGATGGTTGGTTACTCATCAGCAATAAAATGACCTATAAATAAAGTACATCATGCAGGAGATTTCCCCAAAGCTACACATTCCTAAGTGGGCTTTTTAAAAAGTGTAACTTAGCAGACAGACTCCTGAGAGACAATTACCCCTCTTCCCGAAGCACTTGTTACCTTTTGGGAACAGAGGAAAGATTGGGAGAGAATAGTGCCTTGGTCCTTGGGATTGGCTCCTTTGCACAGTTAACCAAAAAGTGTACTTTTAGCTTCTTAAAAGGCACAAAAAACAATTACATGTAAAATGAAATACTCACCCTCTCTTTCCACTTTTTGATGGTGGGCCACTTCTCCTTTCATTCCGAGGACCTGAAAAATTCCTCCCGGATTTAGGTGGTCCACTGTTACCACGTCGGTTCTGACGATCTACACCAGGTCTCTGACTAGAAAAACTTCTCTTGGCTATTTCCCTCTTTGCGGGTAAAACATTCTCTCCAGCCTTTACAACTGCCTGTGTATTCAAATCGGCATTTTTTTTTTCATCCCTCTCACGTCTCTCATTGAAATCACTGCTTTCAGAAGCTGTTTCCCATTCTTCATTTGCCTGATCTGAAGAGTTTTGATTTGACAAGTCTGGAGTCTTATTCCCAGAAATATCCCCAGTAGTATTAACTGGCTCTGGAACCACATTGTTTACCACACCAGTTGTGGGTACTGCTACCTCACTGGTTTTAGAAGCGGCCTCCCTTTCTCTTAGTCTTCTAAATCGGGGAGGCTTATCTTGGCGTGGTGGTCGGGTAGGCCGTTGTCTTCGGGGCCTTTCTCTAGTTGGGTCAAACTTTCGTTCAAATTTTGGAGGCCGTTTATCTGCTGGTATAGGAATAAACTGCTCATGTCTCCTTGGTGGCTCACCATCATCTGTTTTAGGCACTTCCGTCTGCCGTGGGTTCCACTGATTGTCCCGATAAGCTGGTCTTCGTAGTGTGGAAGGTCGTGTTGGGCGACCTCCAGGGTCTCTTCCACCACGTCTGAATGTCCCCCCTCTGCCTCGCCTGGTAGGCTCTCCTTTAGGAAGGAAGCCTGGTTTAGATTTATCATCATCCCGTACGTAAGGTTTTTCTAGAGGTCTATTATCTACTCGGACATGATTTTCAGGCTTGAAAGAAGACTGAGGTTTTACAGATTTTTTGTTTTCAGACCGTTCTTCTCTTTTAGGAAGTTTACCTTTGCTTAAACTATCCTTGTCACTTGCACTTTCATGAATTTCACTGTCTGTGTCAGTCTCTGAACCTCGCTGTCGTCTTCTTTTGGGAACAACTTCAAAATCAGAGCTCTCACTTCGGGTTTCACTTTCTTCTCGCTGTCTGAGTGGTCCTGAGGGAACGTGTTCTGTTCGGGGCTTATTGTCTCTGTATTGAGGATAATCTCGAGTATGTCCTCTACCCCCCCGGCCACGTCCTCCATAAGAACCTCTGTAGCTTCGACCCCTAGAGTAATATTCCCCTCGACCCCGACCTCGATATCCTTGGTCTGGAAACCAATCTCTATCTCTAGTTTCTCTCCAATAGGTCCTAGGGGGTAAGGTTGATTCTTTTTTAATTGCTGGTCTTGAATCTGGTCGAGGTCTCTCTGTAATAAGATCTTTGCCAATGACTTTCTCAGGCTGCTTTTCATCTTTGACTGTTGGTGCTGTGACAGTCTGCTGGTTTACAGTTTTAGCTACAGGTTCTACCTCAGGATTACTCACAGGTTCCAAGGACTTCTCAGTATCCTGAGGTGGCTTTTGTGCCAAAGATGTAGTTTCCATTGAAGGAGGCTTTTCTACCTCTGGTTGAGGTGTTGGTAGAATTGACTGTGGCTGGACTGGTGCTGCAGGTGGTGGGGGTGGAGGAAGGGGGTCTTTCTTTTCTGTCTTTTCGGGTTTCACAACTTTTTCTGTGACCTTTTCTGACTTTTCTCCTTCTTTCTCTTTCCTCTGTTCTCGTTCTTCTTTCATATCTCGTAGTATAGGTTTTTTAATGGGACCTGATCTTCTCACAGGCCTATCATTTCCTTCTTCTCTTCTGTTGGAGCCTGGTCTTGGACCCCACCGGGTTTCTGATTTAGATTTATACAGTTTCTCAGGTTTTGGTCCTTCTGATCTTATGAACCCATCCTTTTTTGGTTTTTCCTCGGGTCGTTCTATTGGTTCTTTTGATTCAAAGCATCTGCTGGTCACTTTAGGAATGCTTACCGAGGGATCATTTCTTTGCTCCTCTGATTTTTGAGTATGGTTAGAACCATGGGAAACACTTCTTTTCCTGACAGGCTGACTTTCTCCACCTGAAATCCGCTCTTCTTGAGGAGTGGAGACAGTCTTTTGATCAGGTACATCAAAACAAGTAGACTGATTATTTGTGTCAGTATGATGAGGTCTAATGTCTTCCACAGATCTGCTTAAAAACTTTTGCACTTCTGTCTCACTTGATTCTCTGACAAAGTCTGTTTTCGAATGAGTCTCTAATTGATTATGTTCCACAGGATAAGCAGTAGTAACCTGCTCCTGATCCAGTGGGGCCTCAGGCCTGTGAGAAATTAAGGGAGAGCTATTAAGGCAAAATCTTTAGACAATATAGCTTACTATACACATTGATTATATGGAATGACCTGTTGGGACCACTGTCATCTACAAAGTCTGCTGTTTACCAAAATGCCATCAAACAATGCACGAACACACACATGCACGCACACGATTCTTCAACACAAAAGGAAAACCTTTTATATGTTACAACCTGAATGAAATCATTATGCTAAGTAAAATGAGCTGGTCACAGCAAAATGTGCATGAGGTATAAAACTTATCACCCTTGATTCAAGTGGAGAAATGGTAAGCACTGGAAAAGAGAAGGACATGGGAAATTGTGATTTAACAGGTATAAAGTGTCAGCTGTACAATATGAAATAATGCTAGGTATCTAATTGCAACAACATATTTTAATAGCTAACATCTAAAATCTTGTAAAGAACACAATTTTTTATTAGTTAAAAAAATAGCAATAAAGAATTGATCACAAAGTTTTACAAATAACTGAGGAAACTCAACAAAGTAAACAAGCCCATCAAAAATGGGGAGAAGAGGGGCCCTCCTTGGTGGTGCAGCAAGTTAAAGGACTGCACTAAGAAGCATAAGCCACTTTCGCATGAGTTCGATCCCCGCCTGCCCCGGAGGAGATCCACATGGCATGGCAGACCTCTCCTGACCCGCCCGCTGCTCCCCTTAGCAGTGTACTTCATTAATCTGCCTGTTCTGCTCCCCAC